TTATTATTATAGCAATTGTGGAAATAAATTTATTTGAGAAGAAAAGGAAGCTTCTATTTCGTACAAATCGAAAATAATTATATTTTATTAATATTCCATTTCGGAAAACAATTTAAACTTTTCCAAATGCAAACGCAACTCTCTCTTTTCAAGCATGAATTATGCCCGATCATCGGCCACCTACACCCACCATGCATGCAAAGACAAACGTACTTTAAGATCCTAAATCCTCCTCTTTGATTTGAATAAGTAACTGAATACTATGATAAATTAATATTAAAATGATGAAAAATAAGAAAAGAAATAGTAGCAGTGGAGATCAAGACCCAGGTGGCCATTCCAAGTTTGACCGAGTATCCTCCTTCTGCCATCTGGCATTAAAAACCCACAATTTTTTTGGTTCTTATCCTTTTCTTTTTATGCGCATGAAACTCATGAGTTTATGAGTCAAACGCCATCTCTATAAATGAGCAATGCCCTCAGTGAAGAAGACATACACCACCCCAGTAGTCACAGCAGAAACAAACAAACATGGCACAATTGGCTTATGTCACCACCGCCATTGTTGCCTTCTTCCTCATCCTCCTTCCACAATCTTATTTTTCTGAATCTATTTCAAGCCATCACCCTGGCTCCTACTCACCTACACAATCAGATGTTGATCTTTTAGAATTTCCTCTGAATTTAGAGTATTTGGAAGCTGAGTTCTTTCTATATGGCTCTTTGGGCTATGGCTTGGATAAAGTTAATCCAGGCTTAACCCAGGGAGGTCCATCTCCCATTGGTGCTAAAAAAGCTCATTTGGACCACTTCACTAGGGATGTTATCACCCAATTTGCATGGCAAGAAGTTGGACATTTGAGGTTCAATCTTCTTTCTTTCTTTCTTTTGTTTTAATGGTTTTTTATATATTATTTTTCTCATACCAAACTTTGTAGTAATTATGTTATTTTATGCAGAGCTATTAAAAGTACAGTAAAGGGATTCCCAAGGCCATTGTTGAATTTGAGTGCAGAATCATTTGCCGAGGTGTTTGATTCTGCATTTGGTCATCCCTTGGTTCCCCCTTTTGACCCTTATGCCAATTCAATCAACTATCTCCTTGCATCCTATGTGATTCCTTATGTTGGTCTCACTGGGTATGTTGGAGCCGCCCCAAAGCTCCAAGGTCCTGTTTTCAAATCGGTAAGCTTCAAACACAATAACAAGAAACTGAAAATATAACCCGATTATTTGTTCACGTTCATCAAATGATCTGGCAGTGTTTAGTTTATTCGAATCGAATCAAATCTGGGTTCGCTATGAACTTCATTTATTATTAGTAGTATTGACAAATTCAAATTGCTTGGTGATTTGATATATATATATATAACAGCTAGCTCTAACATTACTCGTTTTTAATTTATGTGGGTGGGTTATGTTCAGCTTGTTGCAGGGCTTTTGGGAGTGGAATCAGGTCAAGATGCAGTGATTCGAGCATTGCTATATGAACGTGCCCCGGAGAAGGTGCAACCATATGGTATAACAGTGGCTGAGTTCACTAATCGCATTTCAAATCTAAGGAATAAGCTAGGACATGGAGGTTGGAAAGATGAAGGCCTTGTGGTTCCCAAATACAGAGGTGCTGAGGGAAAAATCAGTGGCAACGTTCTCGCTGGGGACGAGTTTTCACTCGCATACGGCAGGACACCACAGGAGATACTAAGAATTATATATGCGAGTGGTAATGAACATGTCCCTGGAGGTTTCTATCCTAAAGGAGCTGATGGCCATATTGCTAAATCTTATTTACATAAAGCATAGAACCTGAACAAATTAATGGTACTAGTTAGGTTGCCATGGCATTCAGGTTGCCTTGTTTAGACAGTGTATTGTCAGTAGTTGTACACAGAATAAAAGTTCTTAATAATGATAACTTGTAACCAGACAATAAAGAAGATACAGTTCATGTTGCATCCCAAACTCTTCATTTATACACCCCCATGAACATGATACATAGTTAAGTCTGCACACCACACGGATCATTCTCGACCCAAAAAAGAGAAACAAAGGACGTAGGTTACATGAAAAAAGTAATCGCGTATACAGTGAACTGTTGCAGCACATATATTCAGCATTTCTGGTGTCATTGGTTCTTGAACTTCAGCTCTTAGCCGTCATCCATACGAATTTAGGCAGAGCAGAACCAATAGCTGCTGCTGCAAGAACCATTTGTACATCAAGTTTGGGTTGTATATGTATGTAGAATAAAAATGTGGGGTACCGATGTAAATATAAAAATATTCGGGGCGAAATATGAATGAATAAAAAGTCGGACACACACACTCCGACTCGGACTCAGTTTTCTTCTAAGGACCCAAAAACCCAATTAGACAAAAACAAAGCTCATTCAGCAGCAGAGTGTGTGGAAGAGCAGGCCTCCGATCGCTCCTCAGTGTACGTACATCCATCACTGGCAATCTTAATTTCCTCAATTCTATTTTCCGTTCTGGTTGTTTATGTTTTTGACGAATTTGATGTTATATTGTCTTCAGTTCCCAAATAACAGATCTTACCGTTTGTTATCTGTTCTATATTAACTGAATCTGGAACATGCGGAACCATATTCTGTGTTTTAATTTTTCTTTATTGGGACGTAGGTTTTAATTTTTTTTTTTCCAAGAATTCATTGTATATGGATCAAATAATCCATTGGGTGTACATTCAGAGATGGATAAAATTTCTTTTTACCCTTATTTTTATGTAAAGGATCTAATGTAGGATTTTTTATGCTCCTAATGTTTTGGGGCATCCCGACAATTATATACCTGCTAAGTAAAAAATTCATGTAGTCCCTTCAAATCTTATAAAGAGTCATTAAAGAGTCTTTTATGTGTTTGCAAAACTTAAAGCAAACCCATTTGACCCTTGTTCTCTCTAGTTTTTCTCCTCCGGTGGTGGAGTTCCAGATTTACCATGCCTGTGAATTTAGGAAGTACCTAGGAGTTCCGCCCATTGTGTTCTGAAATTTTTGTGTATATTTGCTTCCTCGGTAGTTTCACCTGTTGCAGTTGAAATGCCAAAGCTTTTTATTGATGTTTATCTGTGAATTACTTGTTGCAGGTTTTCTAAGGGAGAAGAAATCCGGGATATGGAGAGTGAGTGATTGGAGAATGCGAAGACTAACATACCAAATAAAGAAAGCCAAGAATGCTTACTACATTTTGATGAACTTTGAGATAATGGACTTAAGCCGCCAGGATAGCCAATATTCATGACTTTTAAATAGGATTTTAAAAGAATATTTTGGGATAAAAGTCTTGTGGTATTTAATTAAGACTTTTAAATAATCTAAACAAGTCTTGTGGTATTCAATCAAGACTATTATGATTTTTTAAATAGGGTGTCCAAATCTAGTGGTATTCAATCAAGACTTTAAATAAGTAACAAAAAGTCTTTTGGTATTCAAAAACTTGCTAATTTTGAAGGATTTTTTTTTTAAAAATATCGAATTTGTGTGACTTTTTAGTGGGAGGTATAAATACCAAACCCTATAAAAAATCTCACCCTAACTCATCAGACTTTTCACGTGAGATTTTTTTTTGTCATCTATTTATATAAAGCAAAATACATAATGCGCGAAACATTCAAATTACCAAAAACTACCATTGGTTAATGCAAACATTAAGAATTAAAATTATTAATTAAATAAAGATAATATGATAAATTTATATATATAATATATTTTTTAAATAAAACACAACATAAGATAATGGGTCCTATTTTTATGGAATATAACTACCCATTTTATTTTTCTGAATTATATATATATTTTTTATGAACTAATATTCTTATAGTTGTTGCATTTGGATTGAAGTATACTGAGTTTGAAATTCTAATTGAAGATGGTTGAGATGAATTTTTTTTTTTTTTTAAAAGTTATAATTCATGGAAGGGCTTGTAGCACAAATAGTTAAGAAAATTAATCCATGCACCCGATGTCTTAGGATCGATTCCCCATCCCCATAACAATATACCAAGCATTTTATATATACTAGCCTCTCCGCATGCGCTTTCGCGCCTGCAAGAAGCTTTTGTTTTTATGCCTTAGTCTCATTATCTCATTTAACAGATCCTAAATACATTTATGGTATCCAATTGGAATACGGAATATCATAATAATGGTAGAAATTGAATCATCCATAACTGTAGTCAAAACAAAAATTTATTTCGATCGAACCGCCTAGTTTCATTTGTTTGCTACGGTACATGTCTTGTTTCAAGATTATTTTAAATAAAAAAATTAAATTTATTTTAGAATTAAAAAATATAATGGGTAGTTGTGTTCCATAAAAATAGGATCCATTATCTTATTTTTCTTTTAATTTTAATTTTTTTTAAATATGAAAATGTGTGAATTTACCATATTATCCTCATTTAATTAATAGTTTCAATTCTTAATGTTTGCATTAACCATGGGCATTTTCTGGTATTTTGAATGTTTCACCATTCTCTGCCTTTTACTTTATATATATAGATTATCATTTCTTTGTTATTGAATAATTTGGTTGAACTATTGAACTATTGCCATTGCTCATCATCTAATAAGTTGGTTGGTTAGCATCTGGGGCGGTTTCTCCGTGGACAATGCCACCTTAAATCGTTTTTTTAGTCTTCATCATTTACTCCCCTTTATTTTAGTAGGCGCCAGTCTTCTTCATCTGGCCGCATTGCATCAATATGGATCAAATAATCCATTGGGTGTACATTCAGAGATGGATAAAATTTCTTTTTACCCTTATTTTTATGTAAAGGATCTAATGTAGGATTTTTTATGCTCCTAATGTTTTGGGGCATCCCGACAATTATATACCTGCTAAGTAAAAAATTCATGTAGTCCCTTCAAATCTTATAAAGAGTCATTAAAGAGTCTTTTATGTGTTTGCAAAACTTAAAGCAAACCCATTTGACCCTTGTTCTCTCTAGTTTTTCTCCTCCGGTGGTGGAGTTCCAGATTTACCATGCCTGTGAATTTAGGAAGTACCTAGGAGTTCCGCCCATTGTGTTCTGAAATTTTTGTGTATATTTGCTTCCTCGGTAGTTTCACCTGTTGCAGTTGAAATGCCAAAGCTTTTTATTGATGTTTATCTGTGAATTACTTGTTGCAGGTTTTCTAAGGGAGAAGAAATCCGGGATATGGAGAGTGAGTGATTGGAGAATGCGAAGACTAACATACCAAATAAAGAAAGCCAAGAATGCTTACTACATTTTGATGAACTTTGAGATAGAAGCCAAATGGATAAATGACTTTAAGACCATGTTGGACAAGGATGAAAGAGTCATTCGGCATCTTGTGATGAAGAGGGATGAGGCAATCACAGAGGACTGCCCTCCTCCTCCTGAGTTTCACACTGTCGGCGCAGGTACGGATTCTGATGAGGAAGAGGAGGAGGATATGGAATACGACTTCGAAGAGTACGAAGATGAAGATGGGATTATTATTGTTGACCAATGCTGATATAGAAGATAGGAAACAAGGGAACAAGTAGCGTAGGAAAAACAGGAATGAGAAAACCGTGGGCTGAAACAAGTGAGAAATCAGAAAGTTTTGCGTATTGGTTTTTGTATAAATTTGTGTAACGTTTAGAACAACAGATCATATTTAAGTATATTATAATCATTCTATGTTAGTTTTCCATGCGTAGATAGGAGGTCAATGAAACCGAGTTTGAAACTTTGAAAATTTAAGCCTTGATGGCTTTTAAGTGACAGGAATTGCTCAACGCTAAGATAAGTGGTTTTAAGGAATCTTTAAATCCGATTAATTAAATTAATATTCATAAATCTTTAAATCTGATTAAATTGAGTAATGTAATTTACGGATCCTGAGCCGAGCCTCTACAGTTAGGGCTCGTTTGGGATTCTAGCATATTCAGAATCACTTATGGATTCTACGTGTTTCTCCATAGAAATGATTTTTGGAGTCCACATAGAAATGATTTTTGGGTAAGCCCTTGAGTTTCTTCTAGATTGACGATATTAAAGTATTATGGATGAGAGTTGTTCTGGTTGATACTATTCTTGTGATATTTGGGACCATGGCTTGAATTGACATAAGGATATTTTGGGTGAGGTTCATTTTGAGAGATTCCAGAGCCCTACTTCATGAGAAATACTTCTATGAAACAGGGATAGAACTATTTTGCTATTTTCGGCCAATAACGTTATGACACATGTGCTAACACTTCCACATGGCATAGTATTATTGGCCAAGGATAGCAAAACAGTGGTTTCCCAGTTGAAATTTGTCAAACAAAGTAGGGTAAATATTTAGTTATGCTCAGATACGCTCATATTTACCCTACTTTGTTTGACATGGTATCAGAGCCAGGTTTTCTTGTGACCTGTGTTTGCGTTCTCCTTGCAATTGAAGTGCTCTCCTCCCCTCCTCTTCAAGGGGGGGAGGGGGAGTGAATAGGATATGTTTATTGACGTATCCCCATTACCTTGATGTATTCCCATGAAGATATAGCCTATTTCTTGACTCCGACAACCTCTTCAGGGGGAGAGGAGGAGTGAAGAGAAGTTGTCTATGTGAATTAGCTAAAGTTGATATGGAAGAATTGTTGTTGCTGCTGTTGCCGTTGCCGTTACCGTTACCTCTACTACTGTCGTTGATGTTACCGTTGCCGCTATTGTTGCCGTTGATGTTGCCGTTGTTATGGTCATTGTCGATGATGTTACTGTGTTTTGATCTGTCTCTACCCTAACCTTAGAGACTACCTATTTCCGTTGCACTATACATCTAGCTTATAATCCTAGTTTGCCGCCGCCGCCGTCTACCTTGCTACCGTCATCACTGCCTACCTTGCTATTATCACCGCTGCTCATCTATTCCGCTGCAATTTAACCACCTATCTGCCATGGCTGATTCTGCTACATCTCAGTGTTAGTCAGTGCATGTTTCTCAAGTACCATTGATCATATGGCTCCATCGACCCCTTCTCTTCAGGGGGAGAAAGGGAGTGAAGAGAAGTTGTCTCTGCTGTTGCTGGTGCCAATGCCTTGTATCGCTGTTGATGATGCTTGTTATGGAAACACAAGAGCAAACCCTAAAAAATAGGGCACATAGCAGGACACAGAAACCCTGTGAGCACGGCAGCAGATAAGGCAGAACACAGAAGCCCTGTGAGCAAGACAATAGATAAGGCAGAACACAGAAGCCCTGTGAGCACGGCAGAAGATAAGGCAGATAGGAGAACACAGAAACCCTGTGAGCACGGCAACAGATAAGGCAGAACACAGAAGCCCTGTGAGCACGCAGAAGATAAGGCAGAAACCAAAACCTAAAAAATAGGGTAAGGCAAGGCAAACACACCAGCAAAGGCATGAGCAAAAATACTGGCACCATAACAGGCAGGAGCAACAAGGCATAGACATAACAGGCATCATCAACAGCGATACAAGGCATTGGCAGCAGCAATGGCAAAGACAACTTCTCTTCACTCCCCCTCTCCCCCTGAAGAGAAGGGGTCGATGGAGCCATATGATCAATGGTACTTGAGAAACATTTTACTAACACTGAGATGTAGTAAAATTAGCCATGGCAGATAGGTGGTTAAATTGCAGCGGAATAGATGAGCAGCGGTGACAATAGCAAGGCAGGCAGCGATGACGGTAGCAAGGTAGACGGCTGTTGATGTTGCCGTTGTTATGGTCATTGTCGATGATGTTACTGTGTTTTGATCTGTCTCTACCCTAACCTTAGAGACTACCTATTTCCGTTGCACTATACATCTAGCTTATAATCCTAAGTAAGGACTCGCCAAAAAAATTAAGTTTTTCTCCTACTTCACATCCGATCGTACTCATAATCGCATCAGGTCTCCAAGGTGAACAACCTTCAGTTGATGAAACAATGTAGGTAAGAGAAGTTGGCAAAATTGATCTGTAACCTCGAAAAAAGGATTAGCTCTGAAAGCAGAACACGGAGTCCGAATCTCAAACCAGTCGATTGTCAGTGGATTGCTCAAACTCCTCTCGCGGCAAGAACATATAGTTGTGTGGTCAATTCATTACCATTTCATCACCACATAATCCTACATTACATGGCTTCAAGTCAATTACTTCTTAAGTCTTACGTACGACATATTTAATGTTTAGGGTTAATTACAGTTTATTACCATGTGGTTACATTCTTAAGACATGATAGTCCCTATCTTTTTAATTTTTACAATCACATAGCCCGATCTTTTAAATTACTCCCTAAACTAGGGAGTATGATTGGAGTTCAAATTTTATAAAGAGCTCCTAAAATAGCTTTTGTATGTTTTTAGTTCTATTTTAACTAAAAAATAGAGAGCATGATTGTAGACGCTCTAACATCATCTACTTTATATGACCAACAACAGATTTTTGCCAAACAGTAGGACGAAATTGGTATCATGTTAAAATGTTTAGTTTCCATATGGGCCCATGATAAAATTGAAATTATCAACATTTTGTGAGAAGCTGGGCCTAAAAAATGGGGCATGCACAATGGGCTTGACATAATAGTACTCCTATTTTTTTTTTTTCTTTGCCAAAATTAGGAAGGGGTAGAAGGACACTCACACACACTGCCAAGGTGTGTCAGAGTCCGGTTTACTTGTTACCAAAGTTCCTGTGCCCCCTTATTTTCTTGCTAGTTTCGTGACATGTGGCAAGCCACTTAACACCACTTAACTCTGTTAACTCTATGTTAACTCTTTTTGCTTCTTTTTACTATTTTTTGTTGTTGCTTTTTCTCCTTGTTCTGCCCCTTTCTCTCTGGTTTCCCTCTCCCCCTCTCTCCTTCGTCTCCCCTCATCTCTTTCCTTTTTGGTTTCTCTTTTCCAAACCATGGAAGACCATCTTTCGAGCACCGAGTTGGTAGAGCCTCTTAACACAAACAATTAGGATAATAAACAGAAGTTTTCTGGTTCTCCAAAATGTGGAATGTTGTAAACATAAACCAGAAACTCAGAAAGAAGAGAAATATTACTAATCGTAAATTTTTTTTTATATAAAAAAGTTCGAGCCTTTTCAGTTTAACCCCACACGTATATAAACAAAGGTTTTGTCTGGGTTTGGATTTGCAGTTCTTCTAATACAAATCCGAGTCAGTGATTGGGGGTAAATTTCTAGGGTTTTGAATTGATCTGAGGCGGTGCATGGCGAACGGTATGGATTCTGAGGAGTTTGTGGTGATGTCTAAGGTCCGGAGAAAAAGAAAAAGAAAGCAAAAGCAACCAAAAAAAAAAAGAGAAAGAAAAAACGTGGAGGTGGAGATCTGGAAAAGAGAACAAAAAAGGAAGGAGAGGAGGGGAGACGAAGGAGAGAGGGGGAGGGAACCAGAGAAGAGAGAAAGGGGCAGAACAGGGAGAAAAAGCAAAAAAAAAAACAGTAAAAAGAAGCAAAAAGAGTTAACAGAGTTAAGTGGTGTTAAGTGGCTTGCCATATGTCATGAAACTAGTAGGGAAACAGGGGGCACAGGAACTTTGGTAACAGGTAAACCGGATTCCTCCGTTAGTTGCTTACGTGGCACTATGGGTCCCATATTTTCTATTTTTTAAATTTTAAATTGATTAAAATATAAAAAATTATTATTAAAAAATATATATCTCTCTCTCTGCAAATTCAAAAACCAACAAATTGGGAATAAAAAAATCGAACATTGTTTGCATATGTGGGTGGGTGGGTTGCATGTGGTGGTTTGAGGGTGAAAAACATAAGGTTCTGTTGTGGTGGAATCTGGTGGGTGGGTGGGTTGTGTGGCTATATTTTTAGGTGTCTTGAGAATTTTTTTTTCTGGCTGTGCGGTGGTTGCTAGGTAGGGAGGAGGGTGGTGGGTTGTGGTTTGTCAACAACAAACGGAAATTGGGGGGGAGGGGGTCTAGGTCATTGTTGGATTCCTTGGGGTGGGGGGGTTTTCTTTCTCTTTTCTGTGGATGATTTTTTTTGTTTTCTCTTTTCTGTAGTTGTGAGCTTGGGTGGTGGGGCGCTGGGTTCTGGGTTCATGGGGACGGGTGGTGGTGATGGGGAATGGGGGGGAGAAGAAATCGATGGGGAATGGGGGGGAGAAGAAATCGATGGGGGAGAGGGAAAGCGTAAGGAAAGAGAGAGTTTTACTTTTGTTTTTTTTCTAAATATTTTATTTATATTTTAATTAATAGATATTTATAAAAATACCTAATCCTAGACATGTATTTATAAAAATACCCAAGCACTATTTAAACATAGAAACATACCCAAAATCAACCCCACAATCAACAATTGTATATTTTTTGGGTGTGTTTATAAATGAGTTTTGAGTGTGTGTAATGATGGATTTTGGGTATGTTTATAAAGTGTTTTGGGTGTTGGGTATTTTTATAATTTCAACCCTCATTTTGGGTATTTTAGTAAAACTCCCATTAATTAATTTAAAATTGAAAAAGAGAAAATGTGAGACCCCTAGTGCCACATCGCAACTAACAGAGAAATTTGACGAAAATCATA